AGATCAATTTTTAAAATCCAATTCAATACAATAATCATTAATTAATCCGCGAGATGGGATTCCCCGGACTCTTTAAAATTTGAATGAACTGGAAGTTTTCAACAGGATCGCTGAAAAATCGAAGGATAACAAAATTTTCCCCGCCATTTCGTGGCCGCATATCTAAGAATCAAAATAGCGTACAAGAAGTCGTTAAATCTCATCTCGAAATTTCAATAAAATTGAAGATTTGGGATAGGATCAGAGAAGAATTGACGGGATAGCTAATTTTTCCCACTACTTTAATTCTCAGATCAATTTTAAAAATCCAACTCAACACAATAATCATTAATTAATCATGCATGTACTTATCCTCAGATTCCTCCCGAAATAAAAAAATGAATCGTTCCAGGGCCAGGAAAATCACCCCTTAATTATCCAATGACTAAAATTTGATAGCTGAGTAAAACACAAGATAATTAATGATTTAGCCCCAAATAATTAATCGATTAGCGAGGCATTTTAGCACAGCCAATTGATGGGATGAGTATCGAGAAATGGATGGAGGAGATAACGTATCGATAAATTAGGGTGATTTATGGTGTTGAAGATCTTTTTTTCTTTCTCACCAATTTTTTTTTTTCAGGTTTTTGTGCGGCGAGAAGAAGAAGGAAACGAGGTGGCACTTCATGTGACTTACTGCTGGTCTCGACAGTTCGTTTTACCTTTCTCTGTCAGCTCACTGTCTTTTTTCCTTTTTTTTTCCCCCCCTTTTTTTCCCCCGGGGGTCGAGCTTTTCCCCCCCAGGGGTCGAGCGCTTTGTCCCTTTTTACTCTTTCAGGGACTTGAGTAAACTTGATGAGGACTGCTGGTGAGCTGATGCTTGTATTCGCACACTCATTCTTGAGTAATTATCTTTCGTGTAATTATGGGGGAATTAAATTACTCGGGCTTATGATTCTACTCTGCTTACATTTCTTTTGTTTCTTTCGTTATGCTCTTTCTCATTTTTAGTTTTTTCTCGAGAATAATAATTAGTCGAATCGGCAGTTTTTCCCTGTCAAAAATGTCAGGCATTTTTTTTTCCATTTCAACCAATAAAATTGCGTCGCTTGACCGCTTTTTATATTGTCAATACAAAATATCGAATATTAATTATTTAATACGTATGGGTAATTAAACATTTAATGCATGAGCATTAATTATTCGATATCGAATTATTGATGAAGAACGGCCATTTTTTTTTTCTTTCTGATGCACTAGCGGACAATTTATTTAGAGAAATTTCCGAGGGGGGAATTTTTACAGGGAAATTTTCTCTGTGAGAATTTTCAAGGGTTAATTAAATCCGGAAGTCGAATGGAAGAATTTGGAAAGCGATTCGGATTTGTCTCTTCAGTTTTTCGGGAATATCTCGAGAGTTAACGGGGCTAGCGAAATTTCTTCAGGACCTTTTTTGTAGAGCTCAATCCGCTGTACGCAAAAGGTTATTACGAAAATTTTGATAGCTCCCGTGGATTTCGAGATTTTTAGAGAAAACTGGGGAATAATCCAAAGCGATTTCAACCGATTTCTCAAAATGCATGTTTAAACAAGAAAATTAATTAAACATGATGATTTGTTTAAAACTATTTAAAAAATGTGATCTATTCAATTTCCGAATGATTTGAGTGAATAAAGTTTTCTTTTGCCTTAATTATAATAATTATTAACAAATGGAGAAATTCAATTTTTGACGAATCGAGAAATTAAGGAAAACGTAAAAAAAAATCTCGAAAACAGAATAACAAATTGGAATAAAAAACACATTTGTTTGGTAATTAAGAAAAAGCTATTAGTCTAGTAGAAATGGCAATATTTTAGTGAATTTATTACGAAAAAATGGCAATTCCCAGTGAAATGGAGAAATAAAAAATTCCTTTGGCGAATAAAAATTTCTCTTTCGGCACGTTTCATTTTTGGAAATTAACCAGTAGCACAAAAAATATGAAACGTTGGAAACATTTCAATCAAATCGTGACATCGATTTATGCCACAATAAAAATTGCCAATCCGTTCCCAACCCCTCGCAAAATTGAAATGGCCTCAGCGACCTTGAATGGCCGATAAATTGAATTTTTATCAATCCACGGTTCAACGGACCCTCAGCGAGTGGAGCAAATATTATCGCTTGGAAAAAAGAGAATTGGGATAGGAAAAAAAAAGTGGGCGTGAGTACAACGAAAATTCAGTTACACGGGAAAATAAAATTTGAATACTCCGGGGAATTCTATCCGCGTGTTTGTTCAACTGCTCTACGTGAACCTTTATCACTCCATTGACACAATAATGCTGCGGTGGGTAAATAAAACCTCGCAAATTACTCATTTTTCCGGGGAGAAGTAATTGAAAGGCCATTTCGAAATTTCATTATGCAAATCACTCAAGAATTTCCCCATTTTATTGAAGGCTCTTTTTTTTTCCAAGATTCTTCAATCCTCGTAATTACTGGAAAAATTCCATGTGAAAGAATGAAAGAAAGAATTCCATTAAAATTCTGTCATTTTTTCAAGGATTTTTACGAGAAATATAAACACTATTTCAAGATTTCAAACGGTTTTTTTGAGATTTTGAAAAATCTCTTAAAATAATAAAATATGTCTGAATGCGTCATTTTACGTCAGTAATTATTACTTACCAAAATACTTATTAATTATAAGTACTTATTAAAATAATTATTAATTACCAAAATTACATTTTATTAAAACAAAAAATCCAATTTATCCCGAGATTTCAAATATCCAAAAGTTCCTCAAAAAACCGAAAAACAAAATCATTGTAAAATTTCCCAGTAAATTTTTAGTTTCAATAAAAAAAACAGAACTAATCAAATTGTTTAAAAATAATGAAAAATCAGGATAAAAAATCAGACTCACTTACAAGTTTTAATGATATATTTGTTTCTTCTATTAATGTATTATAATGCGTTATCTATGTAGACCTTATACATACTATATATAACTATATGTATATTTATCCGTAGTTTCACATGTGTGAGTATATATAACCACTTCTTACACAATTATCTTAGATTCCATGTGAATAGGGGGCTGTAGAAATGGAACAAATCGATTATTTACAAAATACAATTAATCAATCAATCAATCGAAATCCACACAAACGTCTCCATTCCTCATCGTTTCTCATCTGAACAGAAAATTATTAAAAATCGTGCACGTTATGTGATGCAATGCCTTATTTACTTATCAATCGATACCACCGCACTTCTCTGCGCAACGAGAATTAAAATAAAAATGGAAAATAGTCGGGGGTGAAGATTAATAAAAATACGAAACTATGGCAACAATACGGTAAATGGCAAGTACAGCTAGACTATAATGGAGATGAACGTTTTAATAGCGAATCATAAAATCAGATAAGTCGAATTGACTATTTCCATTATCAATTTATCTCTGAAACTATTGATTTAGCGTTAAAACCACGAGGGACTTTTTTGTAACCAATTAAATTCTCTACAGAAAAGATCTTTTCAGATTTCTTTCTCAAATCAATAGTTTTTTTAATAAATCGGGATTTAACGAATGTCGATTAAAAAAGTGTTCACCAAAAATTCTGTTTATCATTTTTTCTAATGATCGATTTATCTCGATAATTATCGATTTTACACGGAAAACAGTGGGGACTTTTTTGTAGTCTATTTGATTTTCTATAAAAAATGTCTTTTCACATTTTCCTCTCAAACCAATACTTTTCGAGATCAAACGGTATTTAGAAAATCTCGATTCATAAAAAAAACAGGTTTATCGAAAATTCAGTGTTTATCGTTTTTCCTATAATCGATTTATCTCGAAAATGATCGATTCCACACGGAAACGTTAGAGAACTTATCCATAGCCCATTAAATTTTCCACAAAAAAGATCCCTTGACATTTTCTTCTAAATTCAATAACTCCATAGGAAAACCGGCATTCACAAAAAAAAATTCAACTCCTCTCACTTTATCTCTCGCTACCGATTTGATTCTTTCATTTCACTGTTGGGCGATTAAATACGAGGGGATAGGCTGCGACGTGCGACACGTCGAAAAAAAAAATCTATTTCGAGGGATTGTCCTCTCAAAATTTTCCTCAATGCCTCAATTTTCCTTCAGAATACTATTAAATTGTTACAGTCTTAATCGTTTCATTAATTAAATTCAATACAAATTGTTTCTCGACGTCGATTATCTCCTGGGAAAAGCGTTGGATAGGGATTTGATCATTTATATTTCTTTCGTTCACGTTTTTGTTTGCTCTAGGGTAAACTGAGGGTAGGGATTTGAGATAATTATTCTGTTGAATGGGGGGAAGGAGATGCTGATTCATTGAAACGTAATTCTGGATATATTTAAACAGCCACAAGCCCCTAAAACACAACCAACGGTTCGGAAAAAAGAGGAGAAAACCAGTCGATTCCTCCTGCAGCTCTCGTCAATTAAAAACCTACGGAAGTCCATTACATCGATCTCCCTCCCCCTCTCACTGCCTCAATCATTACATGCAGATCGAGAGCTGCAGGTGACACACCAAAAAAAGAGAAAATTTTTTTTTCAAATGAAGAAAAACTGATCCAATCAGTCAAGTCGAAGACATTTAATAAATTCACCTTAACTACCTAATCCTCTTTACACTAGTTGCGTCATACATTTAACTACGTCAATCCGATGAGAACGATAGAAATAAAAAAATATAATATGCTAAAACACCCTTTCATCCTTATGACAATGTAGTGAATGAATTTGTTGTTTCTTTTTTTTTAAATCAATTAACCGAAGAGATTATTCATTTATAATACAGAACATGAACAGAACAGATTCAACTGAAATCACACGCGAGTACGTCATCCAAGCTGCGTAGGATCATCATTATTTAATTACTCGATCCTCCAATATATTCCCTTTAATTAAGAAAATAACGTAACATTCGTTAATTTTTACGTAATATGACACTTGGATTACGTTTTTTGAGGTCAGTGCATACAAAATTATATCGAAATAACCAGAAAAATCTCACCACTATTTAGGGTAATTTTTCATAATTTTTTGTTTTGTTTTTGTTTTTTTTTTTGCGGCCTATTTAATCATTCTAGTAGGCGCAACTCGTGATCTCATTCATTTTAAATTGATTGAATTATTTCGAGGGATCGATTCAGCGACGATTTTCCACGGGTGGACAGTCATTAACCCCTGGAGATAATTATTTCATTGTTATGAATGTACATTATTGCTAAATTAATAGTGTAAAAAAATTGAATTACCGTAGAAACTCGAGATTACATTTTTATATATATACTTTTTTTTTTATCGATTTTAGCTTCTCCAATGCGATTAGTCTTTCGTAGGTGATTTATTTAATTACGAAAATTACTGGATTTTTATATAGTTCAGCATTTGGTGCAAATTCTGCGCTTTTACACTGGTATACACTGTTTTATATCGTGTAGTTTTAGGGAATTAATTGGTTAGTTCTAATTTTTTTTTCCTTTTGCTTCACTATAATTAAATTACTCTCGTCTTATTATGCACTTCGCCCTTGGGCAGTTTAGGACCATCACAATTTTTTTTTTTTCACGAATGAAATTATCGAGGGGTCGCGGTTAATTGTCTTTGATTTACGTAATTTTATGCATCTTTCTGCAAAATGATCGTGTCACATTTTCGTTCATACGAGATTATCTCGGTGGCAATTGATTTTTGAGGAAAATGTATTCTACATTTTTCGTGGGAAATTCAATTCTCTATAGAAAAAGTCTCTATACTTTTTCGTTAAAATCACTTGTTTACGAGATAATCACGTAATTAACGGAGATGTAATTTTTCGGTAGCACAAGATCGAACTAAATAGATATTTTTCAATCTTCAATAAATCCAGATGAAATGATGCGATTGGGACGAATCTAGAGGCATTTTGAAGGCTGTAAAAAGACCTTTAAAATGGCGGCTTGCCCGTGAAAATTCACTCTGCCGATTCTGAGATATTGCAGATGGAAACTCACCGATTTTAGTTCGATCTCTCCTATGAAATTTCACCATTTTGCTCCTCAATTATCTCTTTCCCCAATAATTTCCGTATTTCCTTACACTTCATGGCAGTGTAGTCTCCATTCACATGCTGTTCAATTATCTTCGCTACTTTATACAGGAGAATTGAATCCTTACACGATAGATTAACAGATTAAAAATGTCAATTTCTTATCGATTGAAAAATAATAAAAGACAACTCCCTCGTTATTTCGACGAGTGAGGGTGAAGTGTTCTAGTCGTCATGATGATGGATAAACTAATGAAATTAATTAACAAATGGAACTATCGATTCAATAAAATAATGATTAGTATGCAACGAGTGATTCAATTCGCTATCGAATTGTCATTTTGTTTTTTTTCGAGTTAAAAGCATAGATCGATTAAATAAAATTGTTGCATTAGTGATGGATCTACTTGCGATTTTTATCTCAGGGAGATTACGCACGACTCCTTCTAGGGTACTTTTGATTGTTCGATTTGTTGTTTCGAGATTAATAGATTTTTATTTATTTACTCGTTAAGTTAATTCCTAGTTGACCATTAGTGTGTGAGACTCCATGGGTGCTGCACTATCGTACAGAGTATCTGTATCTTGAGTTGGTTCACCCTGGAGTTGGCACTGGTTGGACAATGTTCCAGCCCCACAGTCGCAGAAAAATCTGCAATAAAAAATGATAAACAATTCTTAAAAAATATAATCCTACAAAAATCCCCAACAATTTTTCCAACACATTTTGTTTGTGAGGCTGTATATCGACAGGAAATAGTCCCAGGGAAAAATGTCAGAGGAATTTTTTCTTGGGAATTAAATAAACTATAAAAAATATTCTATGAGATTTTCTTGTAGATCCATTCAATTTGGAGATAATTCTGATTAGAGGTGGCCTGGGTTCCGCAGAATTGACAATTGTTGATAATTTACTGCATAATCGATTGTTATATTGTTATATTTACCTGTCGTGCCTGATGAACTCGACATCGTGCCCAGCGTGACATGTTCGTATACAGTTGACGCATATCGCATTTCTGTCTGTTGTGTTGCACGTCTGACAGCGGTAGAAGTCATGCATTGGAAAAGATGTGTACGATGATATTTTGTAAAGACACTGGCCATTTTCCACTGCCTTCTCCACTGCGTCTTGATTTTGAAATATTTTGTTATCTGAAGCAAAATATTGCAGATTAGTAACAACCCCGAAGAAATTTTTAAACGAAAAATCAATAAATTAATGAATTTAACATTTTCAAGTCGATTGATCTAATGAATCATTGATTTGAGGAGAAAATATGGGGAGACCTTTTTTGTAGAAAATTTAATGAGCTAGAAAAAACTTCTCACGTGTCTTCTACTTTAATTGATTATTTTCCAGTGGAATTCGTAATTAAGTAAAATTAGACTCATTACCAACACTTAATATCAGAATTATAATAGAAATCTACAGAAATTTAACTTGACTGTTCAAAATATTATTGAAGTACAATAAGAAATATCGATTATTTGATTAATATTTCAATCTCCATTATGAACTTTATTTATAAATAAATGAAGGAAAGAAAAAGGTAAAATGAGATAACTCAAAATAATAATTATCGATGATTACTACCGATTAATCTCGCAAACTATCAATTGGATCCGAAAACTGTAGATATCATTTTCGTAGCTGATTAAATTTCTGACAAAAAAAGATATTTGACATTTCCTCGTAGAATCAATAGTTTTGAGATTAACCGATCATTAACAAAATCTTAATCTCATTCTGATTTAATCACTTCGCTATCGATTCATAATCTCATTGACTATTTATTATCTCAATTATTCCATGAGATAATGTGACTCACCTCTCGACGTAGGTTTGACCCCAGTGGCCAGACAGAGTCCCCCAAACCGATTATTAAAAATCTGATTAAACTCGAGGGTAGCAGTTGCATTATTAGTGATCTCAACCCCAGCAGCTAATCCATCAAAGATCCTATTCCTCCTGAGCACTGGATAACTCTGCGTCGATATGAGTACCCCAGCCTGTGCATTCCTGAATATATCGTTCTCCTCGAGTACCCCCTTGCCACCATTGAATATACAAATGCCACCATCTCTCCCATCAAAAATCTTATTCCTCTTGAGAGTGGGATTGCTGTCTGTTTTAATCCAAACCCCAGCCATTGCATTATCAAATATCTCGTTCTGCTCAAGCAATCCAAGTCCACTATTATAAACAAGCACTCCCCCATTCTGCCCACCCCATATTTTATTCCCCCTGATAACAGGATTGCTACCAGTTCTGATCTGCACACCGGAGTACAAGTGATTAAATATGTCATTGTCTTCTAGTTTTCCATGTCCATTGTCGTAAAAATAAACTCCAACTTGTTTTCCACTGTGAATTCTATTCCTCCTCAGAATTGGGGTCGATCCAGTGGTGATCCACACCTGTAATAAAGCATCAAAAATCATTTTTATATTGCATTAAAAATTAGACTTAAACATTCATTAAGAAATTAATTATATGACTGTAATTACTATGGGATTACGAATAATATCCAGTATTTTATCAAACACTCGATTTAGTAACGAAATGGTAAAGTGAGATAATTGTAATTTTATATTTTTGTTAAATATCAATAAATCTCAGAAAGTATTGATTTTACGAGAAAATATCAAAAGATCTTATTTCATGTAAATTTAATTAACTCCAAAAAAGTTCTTTCTCGTTTTCACCTCAAATCGATAGTTTTCGATGAATCGAGGATTTTAAAAATGTCGAACTGCACCATGTCCCACTAAATTTTCATAAATTTTATCTATTAAATAAATGAAAAATGAGTTCAATGACTAGAACCTCATTCTATCATGACCATTTACTACTTTCATACATTATTAATTCTGAAAAAACTATTTACGATCGAAAATGACGATAATTTAATGAATTTACTGGATGAATAATATTTTTGATGAATACACACCCCAGCCAAGGTATTAGCATAGACCTCGTTCTCCTCGATGAGTCCCTGTCCCTTCTCGTGAACATAAATTCCCCCATGCTGCCCATGATGGATCTTATTATGTCTGACGATGGGATCAGAGTTGGTTCTGATCTGAATTCCAGCGAGAGCATTTCCATAGATATTATTATGCTCAATGAGTCCCCTTCCTTCTCCAAAGATGTAGACCCCACCCTGATGCCCATTATAAATCTCATTCCGCCTGATGGTTGGATTGGAGTTAGAGGTGATCCAGACACCAGCGAAATTATTCGAGTGGATCTTGTTGTCGATAAACTGGCCCAATCCATTCTCATGAACGTAGATACCACCAGTCTGTCCATGATGTATCTCACACTGAACAACTGTTGGATTAGCTCCAGCCTTCACCTCAAATCCAGCAATCCTGTTGTTGTGTATGTCATTTCCCTCGAAATATCCCAGTCCATTATCGAACGTAAAAATGCCAACGTCCCTCCCATGGTGGATGTGATTGCGTCTCATTATTGGATTCGCGTAGTTCTTCACCCAGATACCAGCTAGAGCATTTCTCGAGATCTCGTTGTCCTCGTACGTTCCCTGGGCGTAATCTGTCACGTACAGACCCACGTTCTCGCAGTCAGAGATATCGCAGTTCTTGACGATTGGGTTGGCGCCACCACCTGATACACATACAGCTGCACCAACAACTGATGAACTACGGATTATGCAGTGGTCAATCGTTGGTGAACAATTTTCACCGATCTCAAGGCAGTAGTGCTTGTGGTGGGGCACTGTGCTCGTCACTTCTGGGGTGAACTTCAGGGTTAAGTGACCTGGAGGAACAACATTTACACGTTATCATTTAAGTCACTGGCATGTGATAAATTAGGATTAGGACTTTTTTCCAAAATCAGTTTTTGGGGATATCTTGGAATTCACGAGGAATAGAGATATTTTGATAAGAACATTTCTTGTAGCTCTCATTTTTTTAAATAAAAAATGTATTCGTAGAAATATCTCTATTTTCATTCGGTTTTGAAATATTCCCTGAAAAGTGCATTTGAAGAAATTCACTTATCCTAATTGATCTTTTTTTAGGAATTAGGTCTCTCCAAAAGTTTTCAGTTTTAGTTTATATTTTTATCAATTATTGATTAATGGAATATTCAATGAATAAATGTGATATAAATAATTGAAAACAGAAAAATTCTGGTTTCATATATTTTGGAGTCTCTAAATCTCTAATAATAAATCTATTCCATCCTATTTTCCCGATCAACACCAAAACTTGAATGCAATACTCGCCAATTTACTATAAAATCTATAAGAATTCTATAATACCAATAATTATTGATCGAGTTGATTCAAGATTATGACTAATCATCCTCCACTGCAATATAATTATACTTATTACCCCCTAGTAAACTTTCCTGAAGAAATAAGACTTTTATAAAAATAGGTATTTCTCTCGAGTAAGTAAACTATCGGGTAAATTTTTTTCCTCTCGATTCAACCGATGCGAATAAAAAATGAATGAGTTTAATAACGAACCTGCATACGCCCGTTTAGCCCCCTCCACAAACATCATGGTGGATTCAGTCTCACGCTCTAGTATAACGGACTCAGCGACATTTCCGGGTGCAGCACCGATGAGGGCGACGTCAGCGTCGATAATCAGGAATTCACCTCTGTAGGTGTCCTTGTGAAGAAAAACGATGGGTTGAGGTGATTCTGGGGCATCCGGGGGTGATGCCTGGGGATTTGTACAGGTGGATGGATTCTGGGGTGCTGATGATGGTGTACTAGGACTGGTGGATGTCGTCGATGATGGTGTAGTGGGTGTGTGTGGGGCTGACGAATTTGACGAATTCCTGTACTCCTCGACGTAGTCAAGGGCAAACTGGATGGTGTCGAAGTACGATAGATTGCGTCCCTTGAATTTTAAATCCTGAAAACCTCGACGGACGTGAACACCTCGGTAAAGCTGGCGGAATGACTCCTTCCAAGGATTCGGATAGTCTGAGTCCTCTGGGGATACGAACTCGAATTTACAGGGGGCTGGATTGAACAGGGGTAGATCGTACTGGTACACCTGCTGGTACAGGGATTTCCACAGCTCTGTGTCGTTGGCTATTGCCTGGAAGCGTTTGCACACCTGCGACATCCGACAGAGGTCAATCTCCAGGAAGTAATTGAAGATCGTCAGGAGCACCTCGTCCGGCAACTCGTAGAGGAGGTAGTGAGCTGCTGTGTTTGTGTTTGTCCCTGGGGAAAATAATTCCATAATTCGGTTATAATATGCCAGGAGCTCTTAATCGATAATTTTTTGATAGACTCGTTAGAAATTAAAATAAATAATTCAATCAAGTTTCAGATTGTGCAGGATCATCAGGATTACTGGGAAACTTTTGGAGGATATATGATCGATTTTGAAAGTCGATGATAATCGGATCATTATTTTTTATTCTGTAATCTCTTGATATATTTAATTCGCTCAAGTAAATTGAATGTCATATTGTCGAATATTGATTTCCGATTGACTGGGACTAGCCCCGGAGAATATAAGTAGAAATCAATAACATATATCGTGAATATGTAATTATTGTCATTTTTACCAATTAAGAATTAATAATAATTATTGACGGATTCTAGGATTGAACATTTATAATTCGAAAAATTCGTGTCAACTGTCAATTTCAGGACAATTACTCCGTGAAAAGTAATTACAAATTGTCACAATTCAAAGAATTCCTTAATCTTTAGAAATCCATAATTCTTTCATTATTCATCGTTACCAATAATTATCAATAATTGAGTATTTCACTTGATTGATTTCTCCAAAAATTATCGTTTTTTTTTTTCAGTTAAAAATGTATTGTAAACATTACTGCCATTATTTTACAATTGATAAGAAATTGAGAAAATTCCTGGAAATGCATTTTCAAATTAATACAAAGTTCTCAGTAAAAATAGACAATAATAATTGAATCAATCCATTGAAATTCGTAATTTATTTTCTAAAAAAAAAGAAATAATTGATTTACAAAATCAATAACGGCGTGGGAATGACCTTAATTAGCAGATATAATAAAAAAAAAAGATATTGGGGATTTCTGATGAGAAATTGGGAAGTTTACCATCAGTAGACATCGAACAGGTTCGTCTAGGTCGTTTTCTCGCTGGGAGGGTGAACGAACCGAGTGCAGCTGCAATGCTACTGCCACCCTGTGGTGGTAATGCTGAGCTTGTCCCAGGGGCTGGGTCTGGATGAGGTGGACTTTTGCGTCTGAGGTCGTAGGGAGACGAGTGAGAATGACTGGGCGATGGTGAAGGTGCTGCTACCCCCGAGACACTCGGAGATGTTCCACGTGCACCACCTGCCCCACCACCACCAGGTGGAATTTGATTCGATGCGGGACACAGGAGGTCGCATGGCTCTGCTGAAAATTAACTCATCGATTAATCATCAATTAACAACCAATTAACCATAAATTAATCACGAATTAATTACGAATTAATCACCAATTCATCACCAATTAATCATCAATTCCAGCCACTGGCCAGTTTTCAATGAAAATCTCGAGATCTAACGCAGATTCTGAAATTTTTGTTGATGCCTTTTTTGTAGAGATGATTGAGAGCTACAAAAATTGTCATTCACAAAAATTCGATATCTCTCTTTATTTCGGAGATATCCCTGACAAACTCGAAGAGATATGTCGATTTATTACTGTTTATCGATTTATTATTGAATACATCATTATCGTTTCTAAGATTTAGTCTCGAGGATTTATTTTTCCGGCGGAAATTCCCTTTTTCCCTCGGGATTATCCTGGGGAGATGATTAGGGACGAGAGGTTAATGATTTAGGGATAATTTGAGATTGAAGTATTGATAGACAATTTGTGGAAATAATCTCAGGGCAATGCTACAACTAGGAATAACTGGACCTCTTCAGAGAATTCGATCCTCAGTACAAAAATTCCCGTTAGAATTTCCCCAAAGACCTCTCGGAGTCGAGGTATAATGACATTAATAGTGGATTATTTTTTAATTAATTAACCAAATTTCACCACAAAATGCCTAGAAATATCTCTTGAATCGATAATCAAGCCGAATTACTACCGTAATTTACTCCCGCAATAATGCACTCTTCTTCGCGAAAAGTAATGCTACTAGAATAATTATCAACGGTAATTAGTAATTAATGTGTAATTAACAGTAAATTTTCAGCGATTCAGTAGCGAAAAAGTAAAAGGTGTGTTACCTTGCCGAGTTTTCGAGGAATATCTCTCAATGTAAGAGAGATAGTGAATTTTTTCTCAGAACCTTTTTTGTAGGTCTCACTCCACTCCACAAAAGAGGTCGTGAGAAAAATTTCACTAGCTCCCTCACATTCCGAGATATTCCTGGAAAACTCGAGGTAAAAAAAAATTTGGCTTGTTACCCTTCACCTTTTACCAATTAACAATCAATCAATCAATTTCTTTCAATATCCCGAATAAAATTTTGAAGCAGAACCATTTATAACGTCGATTCCCTTTCAATTTCCAAAATCTCTCACCGGACCCAAAATTAATTCCCCAAAAACCTTTAAACAATGCAACAACGAGGAGATAAAGGGTAAAATCTCAATTAAGCTAATGGCCCGGTTTTCGAGGAATATCTCTGAATCTACAAGAGCTACTGAAATTTTCATAGATACCTTTTTTCTTCCTCTCCCCCGACTCTCCAAAAAAGCTCCCAACAAAAATGTCGTATCTCCCCCAGATTTCCCGATATTCCTCGAACTCTCCACTAGACTAAAATTCATTTCACCCTTGTCTTCTGAATATCAAAATATCCCAAGTCAAAAAAAAATCATGCACCCCAAAACTCTCTTTGAAGATTTCCGATAAATCTCCGTGTGAACCCCCAAAAAAATCCCTAAAACCTGGAACCCTGGAAAAGCGTCGAGACTCGTTCTGACCGACCGAGCAGAGTTCGTCGCCACGATCGCCATCACGGGCGTTTTTAGGCCATGCACCGACACATTCCAATCAATTAATCCCCCCTCGTCCTGGCGATGAGCCCCAGGTTCCAAAAATCCCCCAAGAACTTCTCAATATTCTAGATTCCTTTCAAAACCCCAAATAATCCCAAATAACCCCAAAAGACCTCTACACCCACAAAAAAAAATTCACATCCCCAAGAAATTCGATTGTCCCAGATAATCTCACCCCAACCGATTGTCAACAAAATTTCTCGTCATCGTGGGTCAATGGACAAAGGACAGACGATTCCCAGGTGACGAAATCCCCCAGATAAAGCCTCAACTCACCAGATGACGTCCTCGAGGGCAACGGAATTCTATTCGTAATTTTTCTCCTCGATCTTCTCACGTAACTCCTCGACGAGCTGAACGGTGCACTCGGCATTTTTCAATCCTCTTTTAACAAAAAAATATTTAACAAAAAATTCACAAACACTCGTCACAAAGCACCACCCACTGGGCACCTCCTCGCCCAGAAAAGTCCTCCCCGAGGGAGCAAAAAAAGCTCCACAAAATGGAAAAAAAAAATGTCCAGAGATGAAAAAAAAAAATAACGATGAGCTCGAGGCAGTGGTTTTTTCGGACTCTTAAAAACCTAAAAGACTAAACAATGGCGAACACTTGCACCCAACACTGGCGGCCATCTTCTCGTTGACAGTCCTCGGTTGCACTCGGGGATTTTATCCACTACTTCACGGGGTTTGCCGTGGCTTTTTGAAATTTTTTTTCTCTCCCTCTGGATTGATCAAAGATGTTCTCGATTGTTTTTTTTTTGCTGCTTCCTCGGGGACTGGGGGCTCAATTTTTTTCCTCCCGATGACTTGTACAGAGATGAGGTCTAGATAGAGCTACAGTCTGTGGGAAACATCACTCGAGCCTGCGCCCCTCCTCAATCTGTACCCCCCACTTTATTCTGTTTTTTTTATTCTCGAGAGGAAACGCAGGCGCCTCTCTTGTTAACTGTTTTATTTTGGGGATTTGGGGGTTTTTGTTTTTTGATGGGCTATTTTTGGGGTGGTGACTGGGGGGGCTCGGGGGGGTGTTGTGGGGATGATTTTGTCGCGGGACCACTCGCGGACTGGGAGAGAGGATCCGGTGGATTGAACCTTTTTTTTTTATCTAGTCCATTGATGCGTACCTCCTTTGTGAAAACGATCCCAGGGAACGAGGAGTCGCTACTGAACACCGAGCTACCGCTGGGGCACGTCGCAACCCCCAACTTCGGGGGATCAGGGGCGCCAACAGCTGACGGCGCCAAATTTAAATCGACATCAGTCGATTTTGAAGAATTTTTCAATGAAATTTGAGATTTCAGTGTTTAAAAAGAGAACTGTCAACTTGTAATTCCTTTCAATTGCAGGAAATTCGCGTCAAATTTTCTCAAATGTCTTAACAATAATGATTAGTAATAAATAAATTAAATTTGAATTACTTCTGTCGCACCTCGAACCTAAAAATATAAATCTTTTGTTAAAACTATTTATCGATCCATCTTCAATAATGTATCATTTATTGTAAAAAAATTAATGTAGGAGCATGGGACAATATGGACACCATTTGGTAATTAGGCTAGGATAATTACCAGAATAATTATGAGTTTGGAGCGAGAATCAATCGCGTGGTGGCAATTCGTAATTTATTGGAAAGTGTTGGCAGGACTGGTATGCAATGAATGGAGCTTTTTTTTTTTATTTTGAGTGCAGTATGGTACGGGGATGGAGGAGAGTCAGCAAAATGACGAGTTTCTCTGCGTTTACGCCATTTTATCTTGTCTCATCCTGTCAATTACATACGTGGCGAGTCTCTACGTATGGAATTCACCTCACGCCAGGTAATTCACATTTTTTTCTCATTTTTATCCATTAATTCAGGGGATCGCGGTGTCCTGGGTACTTAGGGGGGTAACCGAGGTGTCGGCGTCGATGAGCGTAGATGAGCTCCTAAAAAACGCGGGAAAATTCAAAAATTCAACAATTAAATGCAAAATTATTCCGATCAATTCACCGCAAATAAATTGTTCATTTTTTGTTGTTTAATTAATTCATTATTGATAATTCATTTAAATTCAGTAGCGAACTATTGAAACAAGATATTTGGGATTTTTTAATTTTAGTTAATGTCGATTAATCTCGAAAACTATCGACTTCATGAAAAAATGTTAAAAGACATTTTTTGTTTGGAATTTGATTACCTACAAAAAAGTTCTCTACACTTTCTTTCGTAAATTGATAGTTTTCGAGATAATTGAATTATTAGAAAAAAATCGGTTTGTGTAATGGGGAATTAATTATAAAAAACAATTATAAAAAAATTATTTTATGTAGGGAACACCCGAGCACCATCAAGAAGAGGTTCTTCAGTGTTTTCGTTATGACCCTGATCTCACCTGCTTCCCTGTACTTCGGTATGAGTGCGAAAGTCTTTCAGAAGGTGAGGAGGTGAGGTGAGAAAAATTATGAAGAGATGAGATTTTGATGAGAAATTAATTTTTTAAGGCGACAATTTGGGAACTGCTGGGGCTGAGATGGTCAGGATTACTTCAGGCCACTTTTATCCCTCTTTTTTTGACGATGGTATTGTTCCTGGGACCCATCAGCCTCCAGGGATTCAACGGACTCTGGCGGCTGTACGCTGGTCAGTATGACTGTACGTACGATTTTTCAAGAATATTCTTCCGAAATTTGATAGCCCCTTGGGGAATGATGTTGAGAAATTTTACGGGCAATTAATCTGTCCCGAAATCTTTCTCTTTTTGGAAATTTTTGACGCACCAGAAAATTAATCGACTTTAAAGAATTTTTCAATTACATTCGAGGCTTTAGGGAATCATTGGGGGAACTGTAAATTTTGTAATTCTTTCAATTGCTTTCAATCGGAGGGAATCAGGGAATTCTTTTTATTTATTTTTACATCGATATTGCAATTTGTTAGTGAAATATTAATTTTCATAATTTTTATGGTTTCAATTAAATTTTTATTAAGTTTGAAATTCAATTATTTTCTTTCTCGTTTATTATTTGAATGTATTATTTATATTAATATATTATATATTATTAATGAAATTTGAAAATTTTTCGAAAATTTCTCTTTTTTCTGCCCTCCAACGCAATTAAAAATATCTCAAAGTTTTAAAAATTTTCAGAAATTTTTTCAATTAAAAAATTTAATTAAATCAAATTTCCAAAACAATCGAAAATGAAAAATTCCACAAAATTTTTCAGAGGTTTCATTATATTTCCCGTGAATTTCGCAATTAGTAAATAAAAATTTCACGTAAAAATTATCAGAAAATTTTATATTGACTAAATGCCTTTCAAGATTTTTTCTGTTGTTATCGTTATTAATCAGACTTTGGGATTGTCGTAATACTTGCAGAACCCATGTACTGGCTGGGAAGTGCAAGAACCCTGATCTGGTGGAGGAACCAAGTGGTCGCACCCCTGAGCGAAGAATGGACATTCAGGGCCTGCATGTTGCCTCTGTTGCTCCAGTGTTTCAGTCCCACCACTGCCATTTTTATATCGCCACTGTTTTTCGGAGTGGCCCATTTCCACCACGTCGTCGAGAGAACAAAAATGGGAATGAATTTTAAACACGCCATCATAATTTCCTGTAAGTTATCGAGACCCGAATAAAATGGGATAGAAGATAAAAGGGGATAGAAGATAAAATGGGATACAAGATAAAATGGGATGAATTCAGGTTCAATTCAACATTCCACTTTTTACAATTTTCATTAAATTTCCATATAAATAATTTCACGATCAGAAAGAAAGATGAGCGATTCAAGTGAGATGCCGTATTTTTTGAGAATATTTAAAAATTATAAAAGTAAGAGAACAATAATATAATTTAAATAAAAAATTTAGTTGACAAAAATAAATTTTTTAGACTGTCTCCAACATTTTTTGGCGAAGAAAAGAAACGAATGGGAATGAATTAAAAACGTTTTTCTATCACTATTCCATTTTTCTCGAGTTTCTCCTATACATCTCCAGCTTTTAATCGAAATTTTCCTCCTGAGGATAAATAAAGGATCACGTGACGAATTCTTTTCATTTCAGGTTTTCAATTTGCCTACACAACGTTATTCGGCGCCTACGCAGCCTTTCTGTTCGCAAAAACAGGTAACTGTATGAATTAATCAACTAAATTCTTGATAATGAATTTATTTTTAATGAACTTTACGTTGTTTCAGGTCATTTTGTAGCCCCTTTCGCTGCCCATTCGTTCTGCAATCACATGGGGTTTCCAGATTTTTCAGAAGTGATTGCCTGCAAGGATCCATTAAAAAGGACTGGATTACTGAGCCTCTTCGTCATCGGTCTGGTCGCCTGGTGCTTTCTCCTGACGCCCTTGACAAATCCAGCTTGGTTCAACAACAATCTCTTCTGGCACAAGCATTTCGTGTAATTCTTCGTAATTCTACGTATGAAAACGATTCAATTATAAAATCAGACGTTCTCTAGAAATTCAATTAAAATTTTTCTTACAATTTACCAATAATTAAATAATTAGAGAGAACCTCGAGATACGAATTCCAATCAATCCATTTTTTTGTATCGAATTTCCTCGAGGATTAGCACGAAAAATCAATAGAGTTCCAGGAGAAAGCCTGAGGTATTTCCATTGAATTTTTTCCTACGTCTCATCAGAGAATTTTCATGGATTTTTTAAAAGCTAGTGAACGATTCTCTAGCATTTTTCAAATTTATTATAAGCATTGAGGCGAATTGCCTCGCTATCTCGTTTTTAGAAATTGAATAATTAACGAGTTAATGGTTAATTGAGAAATAATTGATGATTGAACTGAGTCTCAATGTTGAGAGAATACCACAGTGCCTCACCTCGTTCCTTTGACACTGGGCATACCACTAACTGCATTTAAGTCTACGAATAATTAACTAATTAACGAAAATAAGTTCGAGTGCTTTTTGTATCATCCAATCGTGTGGGTGTTAACATTGTAATTAGGAATGCTGCAAGTAAATTCTAATTTCTCAGTCGATATCTGTTGTACATAAAATTATTGAATAATGTTTGTAGACGAATAATAAACGATGATTTATTGATCAACCCATTAATTTCATTGAGATCACAGAAACAAGACAGTCACTCGAATAATCCCCTTGAATCAAGGAATTAAATCTACTAAATATATCTTTCAGATTCAACAAATTCTCAAAAATTCCCACTCAATACAAGATTTATATAATAAACATCGAATTCATCGAACATCTTCATTTTGAGCAGTGAAAATAAATAAAATAAATAGGAACTGATAAAACTAGAATTGTTGTTATTAAATGGAAATAAAAAATTTCAAATAGTCTCTATCTCCCATTCAAAAATTACAAAAATTACTTCACTCAGCTCCTCATATCGCTACCAGAATTGATTAAAATCTAATCTTCATTAAAATGAATAAATTCAATAAAAAATATCCATTTAAAATCGAAAAAAGAATGCAATTGAATTTTACATTTTTATCAATTATCGATTTATCTCGAAAACTATTGGTCGGAGCTCGAAATTTGATAAAATATTTTTTGCAGACGATTCAATTTTCTGCTAAAAAGGTTCATTATTTTTTCTCCTAAATCCACTAGTTTTTAAGATAATCGACATTTAACAAAACTAAAATTCAACTCAATTCATTTTCCATTTCCGCTGCTCCACTTTAAATTCATGATAATTATTATCCAAACGATCAAATTCAAACGAATCATATCTCATTTTGAAGATAAAAAATATCCCTCAAATTGAAAAAAAAAAATAATAAAAATCCACTCAACCCATTTGGAGTTATTGACAACAGAACCCTTATTCATTCTGATAAAACCTGTAAATGGATTTAGCAGGGGTTCTCTCAGGATTGACTGGGACCAGCGGCTTCTGAGTTGAGCTGCGACTGATTCAAGAACTGGACATTGCTGGCCTTGAGCCTGGGCCCTGACGAGCCCCCAGAAGGACAGGGGCTGATGCAGGGAGTGGAGCAGTGGCTGTTGCTGAGATCACACTGATCGAGTAATTTCCAGAGTTCCTCAGGAGTCGGTCCCCCAGGAAAATTTCTGGTTCTGTGTGCATCGTAGCAGGGATCCAGAGCAGTGGTGAGGTCCCACATCTGGATGGCCCCACTGGAATGGCCCGTAAATATAAATCTCCTCGGTCTAGAGCCCATTCTACTGGAGCCCTCGCACTCGTGGACGCAGAATGACGTGATTACAGATCCATCCACAGACTGAATCACGCAGACTCTCTTTCCATTGGAGGCGAGTCGAACGAATAGCTGATCGGTCTCGGGTACGACCTTCTGGACAAACACCTGCTCGTCGTCCTGCTCGCCGAAGGGCCCGAAGTCGTTGCCAGCTGTGTAGCTGATAGAGGTATCCATCGAGTCCAGGGAAACAATTTTAAATGATGCCTCTGGAGTCGAGCCTGGCTGCGTGGAGATCATTCCTCGGAATCTCGTTACCGCCCAGGATCGCACGTGGTTGTACTCCGAGCAGACGGAGACGAGGTACTTCTCCGAGAGAGTCACCTTTAAAACGGATATCATTAGTGATAACGAAAAAATTCAGCTTTTTGATGATATCTCAAGATCTAGGAGAAATCGAAAAATTTCGTAAAAACCTTTTTTGTAGATCAATATCCGCTCTACAAAAAGTTTCCCACGAAATTTTTTGTATTTTCGACAGTTTTGGAAATATTGCACATGACATATCAGGAAATCCTCATGATGACTCATTAATGAGAGTATTCGAGAATTTCTCCATATCTCGAGATCTAGAAGAGATACAGAAATTTCGGAGAAACCTTTTTTGAAGATCTGAGTCTGCTCTAGAAAAAGTTCTCCACAAAATTTTCAGTATCTCCGATGGATTCGGAGATATCGCTCGTAGATTATCACTGAATTGACTCATTGATGAGATAATTTGGGAATTACCTTCGTTACACTACTCTGATGAACTGTGAAGGTCTGAAATAATTGTGGTCCATGTCCCACTGTCTCCGGATGCTGGACAATGACCCTGACACTCCCCGACTTGGTACCATAGGCAATTTCAATCCAATTCCCACAGAGACCTGCTCGAATTACAAACATTCCAAAAATTATGCAAACAATCTACCACAAAATTCCAGTTATTAGTGGATTAGAAAATAGTAATTCTGTAGTGCAGACTCTCAAATTAACGAACTTCTCTACAGAATTTGGGTCCAAGCATTTAAAAAGTGAGGGGGATGAGGCTGATGAGTCGTTTTATCACATTCTGTGCTCGTTTGAAGCTTATAAAGTCGATACTTGCCTTGTGCTGCTTATCCGGGTGTTCAGTACGTAATTCATGTAGCAGAAAACGATCATAAGTGGATTTTTTCTTATCAGAATTAGTCTTGTTAGATACTTACTTGTTTTCGGGGTGAGGTAGACAGATATTGCTGTTATTGGGTCGAGATTTGGGTCTCGGTAGAGCTCAGTCACCAAGAGGTCGTTGTCCTTCATCCTCAGAGGGAATTTTTGCATGTCTGGAGGGAGAACAATAATTAAAGTGTGAAAAGTTTTCTTCTTTTCCCAGATTTCTGTAGTAAAACTTTCAGTACAGCTCTTCCTCAATTCAAATTTTCCACTCTTTTAAAATTTGATTTTCTTGACAAAAAAAATCAATTGAAAATGAAAAAAATAAATTCTCTATAAATTATAACGATAGAAATATCATTATTCAATGATTACCTAGTCATTATTATTCATTATATTTTCTAATTAAAAATCTTAATTAAGATTTTTAATTTTAATTGGAAGGACAAATTCATTGAGTTTCTGACAGAAAATCAGATATAATTGTCTAGTTTGTTTGAAGCGGAGAAATTGATGGAATCCACTTCCATTGGTCTTACCGATATAATAAATCGATCCATTATTGCACCCCAGGAGTAGGAAGGATCCAGCAGTGTCAAAAGAGGAGATGGAGACGACGTCCTGGATCTGCCAGTGTTGAGACATGGCGTGCCAAACTCCAATTTTCCCAGTCTGAGACAAAGCCACCAGTTGACTCCCAATGAAGAAGAGATACTCCACCCTCACATTCAAGTTGAATGTCCCGATGTTCGTCTTGATGCCCTCCTCCCAGACACTCCACAGCCTCACTTGTGATCCATACGAAATAGCCACCATTTTTCCTTCAGCTCCAGTTCCCATTTTTGCATTAATTGCCACCCTCTCAATAATTGCCTCGATGTGGGGACTGGTGAAGGCGTGCTGCCACCCTGAAGAGTCTTTCAGTCTGTAATATATTAATTTCAAAAGAATAATCGATTGTTTTTTTTTAAGAAGTGGATTATTGCATCATAAATCGATATTGCGTTCATATTTATGAATCTGTTTGAAGTATGACCTGTAACATGTGATGAAATGAGCATAAGCAATGACGATCCAGTTATGATGAGCCTTGATGATCTGGACCCTGAGGGGATCAACCCATCCCGAGGCCTGAGCTCCAAAGACAATTCCCACCTCATTTTTAAATAATTTATTCATATCTGCAGAGCTGTTGCGAACGTGTCTGAGATCTAAGGAGGGATTCCTAGAGTGCTGTAGACTTCTCTGAGGCACTCGGTAGTCCAGCGACGAGTTCCTGGAGTGAGGGGGCTTCTGGCTTTGTCCACTAGTCCCTAAAAATCCAATAAAATCAACAAATCAGTACGAAACTTGTAAAATGCAGTAAATCGCATGTCCCATTTCGTTAAACTGTCGACTTCTCGCGGAAACTACCGACTCACGATAAAAACTGTAAAGGACTTTTTTCAAGGTGATGAAATTCTCTCCAAAAAAGTTCTTCCACTATTTCCTCCTAAAACCGATACGTTTCGAGATAATCATCAAATAAATGAATACCAAAATCTTAAAATCGAATGAACTAAACGTTTCAGTAAGCTTTTCGTAAATAACTCCAAAACCAAGAGGAATAGCAAAATTATTATAATAACCTTTATTGCAGAGATAATTGCACTTTAAAAAAAAGGTCATTACAAAAATTTGTCTATCTGTCTTAGATTCGGAGATATTTCGAAAAATGACGCCCACCTGCAGTTCCAGTGTTTCCCTCGGGTCGTCCTGAGGCCCTGCCATGGACGGAGACATCAGCGACAGGAGGGACCCCTGCAGGTTCCTGAAGAGGAATACTGGGTGGAGGAAGATATCCATAAAAAAGAACATCCCCACAAGACGATTGCGTCAAATCCTCGCAGAGGATGAGCCTCTTGATGAGTGGAGTTATTCCATAGTATTCAGCCTCGTGCCTCAGGGCTCTGATATCCGCATTCCTCAGGTCGATGTCCCTCGTCCTCAGGTAGTTCAGGATAACCGAGAACATCTTGGGGTCTCTGTCCACGAAGAGGGCACCTGTTTCATCCCTTCTACTGGCTATTCTGTTGCTCAACAAAGCAGTGAAAAATGAATCTGGAATCCAGGTGAGGGTCTGCCTGGAGGTGGAAAACCTTGTGCCCCCCACATTCAGGTGCACGATGTCTCCCATACTCAGGGAATGGACAATCGCCATTTGTTTTTTTTTTAAGGGAAAGCCACTTGTCAGTTATCACCAGCTGCCAATTTTCACTCTGGTGACAGCTCCTTGTCCAGGGGAGCTGTCATGCTGGAGACAATGGGTAAATGATTAACTCAAGCAGTTCCTTTTCGTCTTCCTGGATTTTTTGGTGTCTTCAAGGCTTTCTATGGGTTTTTTGACGGTTCACCTTTCGTTTGTGGGGGGAAATTAATCGGAAAATGAACACAACAGGGATTCACTACAGGTGATCTTTTCACGGGCTTCTCCAAAGAGGATTGACTGAAGTAGAGGCTCAGTTCTGGAGGTTTGAGTGACTCCAGCGGCATCGTAGTACTGCGCCCCAAGAGAGGGAGGGAGCCACACGCAATGGGGGTGTCATCCCGTCAGTCGACCCGGTAACTGCCCCAGTAGCAGTTCCGCTGTCAGAGGGACCAGTCAACTGGGTGAATTTTATTTTATATGTTACGAAGTTGGTATTCACTGAAATTTGAAATTTCGAAATTTTTCGAAAAGTATCAGGGGAGCATGAAAATCGAGGAGGTATTCACTAAAATTTAAAAATTCGAAATTTTCTAAAAAGTATCAGGGGAGCATGAAAATCGAGGAGGTATTCACTGACATTTGAAAATTCGAAATTTTTGAAAAAGTATCAGGAGAGCATGACAATTGAGGAAGTATGCATTGAAATGTGAGAATTCGAAATTTTTGAAAAAGTATCAGGGTAGTATGAAAATCGAGGAGGTATTCACTGAAATTTGAAAAATTCGAAATTTTCAAAAAAGTATCAGGGGAGCATAAAAATCGAAGAGGTATTCACTGAAATTTGAAAAATTCTAAATTTTCAGAAAAGTGTCAGGGTAGCATGAAAATCGAAGAGGTATTCACTGAAATTTGAAAAATTCGAAATTTTCAAAAAAGTGTCAGGGTAGCATGAAAATCGAGGAGGTATTCATTGAAATTTGAAAATTAGAAGTTTTTGGAAAAGTATCAGGAGAACATAAAAATCGAAGAGGTATTCACTGAAATTTGAAAAATTAGAAATTTTCAAAAAAGTGTCAGGGTAGCATGAAAATCGAGGAGGTATTCACTGAAATTTGAAAAATTCGAAATTTTCAAAAAAGTATCAGGGTAGCA